CATTCATCTAATAATGTGCGCTCAGATCCCAACTATCTGGGGATATGTGAAATGTCTGTGTGTTATGTGTAAATGTGACTTTATGTATTTTAAAGTGTTTTGTGTCTTTTTGCAACCATGTGCTTAATGGAGTCTTGTGTCTGTCCTGGGAGATAATTGAATTACTTATCTCCAGGATAGAAAACTCTGAAACTGGTTTGGGCCAGAAAGCCATGCTTCATTTAGTCACAAAGGACTTTTACTAACTTTTGAACCCCTTGTCTGATTTGTGCCATTTTTGAATATGTTGTTCCCCTGAATGGATTGATTGAGAATATGTAATTTTATGTGAATGTGATGTATGGTTTTGGAGTTATGAAAGTTGGGTAGAAAGTATGTTTTAACTGTATGTATAATTGAGTTTCCTCTCAGGATAAGGGGAGGGAATATGTGGGATGTAACTGTGATGTGATTGGTTGTTTTGTAACGCCTGTGGGCTGTACTATGTTTGTGGATTGGGAATAAAAGAGACTGTATGTGACAGTACAGGGAGTTCCTGCTTAACCCTCAAAGTGAAGTGTCGTCTCATTATTGGGGGAAGATTTATTGTATGCTGTTCCAGTTTGACTGCTAGGAGAGTAAACCTATTCGTATGGTTCCTATTCAACTGTCTAGAGCATTCATATGCTCCTACGGGTCGGTGGTTTTGGTGTCTGCTGCAGTGCTTGGAGTCCTCAGGAAGTGCTAGGAGCATCCTTCAACGGAGGTACCCAGTCGGGGTGCCAGGTGATCCGTTACAAACCTCAACTCTATTCTTAATCTTTTTCATTTATTTACTGTCTAACAAACCAATTGGATACAGTCAAATAAGGTACACTGAGTACAGGGGGGAAACCCCTAGTGGAAATAGGCAGTAAACTATAGAGTAGTGTACCTAAAAACTGTGAGAAAATAGCGTATTCCTGTACTACATAATAAACAGAAGGAATGTGAAGATAAAAGGCACAAGTAAAAAGACCAAAAGGTCAAAAAACAAAAAAGAATTTATTGTGTACTAAATAGTATCGAAAAAAATAACAATAACGCAAAAGTGCTATATAAAAAAATCCACTAAAAACAAAAAAGATACAATGTTGATTAACTTGAATAGACTCTAATGTCTTGAATGGTATAAGAGTAATAAGCGACAGCACACGTCTGTGCTGCTTGGGAAAGACGTTTAGCTGATAGTAGCCATAATTATGGGAGAGTGATGGAATGTAAAAGTGCAGAAAATATACTGGAAACCGCAGGTCCTAACATATGATTGTTAGATAGGTATAATGTGTGTAATCCCTAATGATAAAGACACAGGTCTACATATATTGTAATGGAGCCTGCAAGCGTATAGATGCTGTATACTATTAAAAGTTTCCGTGTGTGATAATTACATGATTTTGCTATTACATGATGAAAAGTCATGATTTTATTAAAGACACGGAGGCGAGTATTGCATATCCCTTTCTTTACTGTCCACCAATAGCAGCAAAGAATACATACAGAATGAAAAATAATGAACATGAAGTAACATAGGCCCCTCTCCGCTCAGGTCCCAGTATAATAGGCATCACTTCCCTTCCATTTCCCTCTTTCTGAAGATGCGACCAAGGTAAAATGTCCAAAACAAGAGTAGTGAGAGAAAAGTTCCAAGGTAATAACTTATAACTGAAGAGGGTAGAACATCAACAACTGGGAAGCTTGACCATAGGATTCATAGGACCACTGGATAACAGCGGGGGGAGTCCTCCTAAGCCGGATGACTGCTTGCCTTCTTGTCAAATTAAGCTGTGAAAACATAAAGGAACAGGAGCCGAGAGGTTAAAGTCGATACTTGTAAGGACTTTAATGCAGATTCCAGTCCTTTACGGGGGTTCCAGCCCAATTTAGTGAGGAACTGGGTCATCTCGGGGTCTACCTCCGGAGTGTCGCAGACTTTATTAGGCACCACAGGCCTAGGACACTCTGCCCTCAATTTGTTGCGGGCCGCTTTACTCAAGGGACGTCTGACCCAATTTTCTACATATGTGGCAATGTGGTCAGCCGGGAGCCACTCTGCCAATCTCGGATGGTGTAGGTCATCCGGGTCGAAGAGTGGGACACCCGACGGATCCACAAGGGTGGACCCCGCGGCCGCGGGGTTCCTGATCCCTGTCTCGCCTCCGAGCATCTCTGCCTGAGCAGAGGAAAGGAGGTCAAATCCAGTATCGGCGGCATCCGCATCAGAGTCACTGTCCGACTCGCTCTTAGCCTCCTCATTTGACCTGATTTCGGAGTCGGAGTCGCTCTCTAGCTGTGCTCTGGCACATTTCCATAGCCGCGCCCATTCTGCCTGACGCGGAAAGGCTCTTTTGCGTGGATGGGACACGCTTTCTGGGGCGACCGAAGGTACGCCAGTCATGGTGTTTCTGGAGGCAGAGGGGTGTTTGGACTTATGGGTAGCCTTTTTATATATCTCTCCCTGAGGGTTCACAGTGGGACGCGGTAAAGGCGTTGAGGAACCCGAGAATTGCTCGTCTGAAGGACGTGGCAAGAGGGCCTGTGAAATGGTGTGGGAGAGGGTGGAGGACATAGACCCCATGGTCGCCATAATGGCGTCTGTCACCGAGCGTTGCAGCACTAGGAACTGTGCCCCATCAGGGTGGGTAGTTCCATCTGTCATAATGGGCGAATTGCCTGAGGTGACAGGGGCCTCACTCCAAATGAGTGGGGTATCAGACTCCCCAGAAGGGATAGACCCAGAGGATAGTCTGGGTTTAGGCATGTTAAACTAGCAGAGAGTATAACCTAACAATAGGAATAGTATGGGTTAGTCACCCAAACAGCAATAGACAAAAACTAAAACGCTCTCACCAGGGCCCAGACCAGTGGCACACTAAGATGCAGGGTAGGAAAGAAGACAGGAAGTCTGAAAATGGCCGCCGGTAATCTCGCGGGATTCGCAGCATCCGCGAGATTACCGGCAAAAAAACGAACGTTCGGTAGAAAAAAGGTGAATTCGGGAACCAGATAGGTAAGTATAGGAGAATAAAGAGTAGGCGAACGGGCCATTCGCATAAAAATTTTGATTGCAGCAAACATGCGAACGCACTGTCAGCCGAATGGGGAATGTTATGTATGTGTGGCGAATCAGCCGAATAGGCTTAATTCGCGCGCATACACAGCCGGGTAGGGGAGAAAGAACGTGCGCAAAATGGCGCCGAGGGCAGGGAGGACGGAAAAGGAGAATAGAATACAGTAGGGGAGGTCTGGACCCTGGGTAAGTGAGAAACAAACAGTGTACAGAAAAGCAATGCAGGATAAAGACATCCAAGTACAATAAAAACAATATAATACTAGATAGGAAGATAAATATAAATAAATAAATATATAAATAAATAAATATATGAAATGAAATAAATGTAAAACAAATATGACAATAATGCAGAATGCTACCAGTTACTGGTAAGCAACTGTATGATAAAATTAATGAGCAAAAAACCAGTACAATAGAAAAATATGAAGAGAAAAAAGTGACATGTACTTATCTTTGTGTCGGAGCAGCAAAGAAAGAGGGAAATGGAAGGGAAGTGCTGCCTATTATACTGGGACCTATGGGGCCTATGTTCATTATTTTTCATTCTGTATGTATTCTTTGCTGCTATTGGTGGACAGTAAAGAAAGGGATATGCAATATGAGCCTCCGTGTCTTGTTATAAAATTGACATATAAGTAATGTATAATGGTAACAAAGCCAGGTACTGTAAAAAGTGCTGCAGTGATAATGGTAGCGGCTCTAAATCTGTAATTCTAATAAAAGGCAGTGACAAAGAGTATAACAATTAGAGGTTATACTTGACTAATATGCTAGGCAATTGGCTCAAAGAGCTGTCTTCGATTAATTGGGATGGAGATCGCAGGTGCATTTATACCAATAGAGCCTGTAAGCACATGAATGCTGTATACTGTTGGAAGTTTCAATATATAGTATTTAACATGTAAGTAATGTATAATGGTAACCAAGCCAAATACTATGAGAAACGCTGAAGTGATAGAATAGCAGATCTTAATCTGTACCACTAATAATGAATGATCTAATGGCGTGACAGTTGAAATAGAACCTCTTCCTCTGTAAACTCATGTGTAATAAATGACTCATTTATCCTTTTTCTCAACTGAGGTCCTTTTCCTTCATTTTCATCTGTAAATACTGAACAAAAATATTCATTGAGGCAGTCAGCTAGACATTTATCCTCTTCTACATACCTTCCTTCTTTTGTTTTTAATCTAACTAATCCTTGTTTTACTTTTCTTTTCTCATTTATGTATCTAAAAAATGTTTTGTCCCCCTTTTTTACTGACTGTGCTATTTTCTCTTCTGTGTCGGTTCAGCTCAGTAGTATATCAGTACTGGAACTGAATCAGATGAATAAAAAAATACATGAAATTGTGCCAACGAGTGTACTGCAAAATATATATACATTATAATATTATGTTATATTATGTAATATTGTGCAGTACACTGATATGAACATAGTTCCATCATTTGTTTTGCAGATCAAATGAGAAGTGAGCAGAGGGAAAAATAGGAGGAGCAGTACAAAAAAAAAAAAAACAACTATTGTTATATATTTAGTAAGTGTATAATTTATAAATATAGAGTATATATTTATTAAATATAAACATTTTGATTTTTTTTACTGCTGCTTTTTTTTCTTTTATTGTTCATTTCCCATTTGATCTGTGAATAAAATTAACATTTTCAAATTTTTCATAGCTATCATTCCGAACATGCTTAGCCATTGCTGGTGTCAGTTTGTGATTGTGGTAGCTCAGAACTAGGGAATTCGACATATTATCCAATTGGCCCAAATTCAGATGAATTTAAGTTCCATGTGTATTAGATACAATTGCATCAAATATTATTATTTGGATAACCACTGTTTACTTAATTAATTATTTAATTCTTTGAAGATTTTAGCTACATTGTATATATATATATACACAATATATTTCCACCATCCTCTACTATATATATATAGTATATATATAGTAGAGGATGGGGGAAATATAGTAGGTCCAAGGACAACAGGGCGTGGACCCAATTTTTGGTAATTAGTAAAGAGGTTGAGATTCTGGTTAGAAATTTAAAAATTTGCTTTTATTATGATATAAGTATAAAATATTTTGTAGTTTGCTTTATATACTTTCCTAACTAATTTGGCTCAGAAGATGCTGAAGCATGAGTGAGAGTGGAGAAACGATATCTCCTAAGGTGCTACCAAAAATAAACATGAAAGTGCTCACTAAACCAATAACAAAAAAAGGAGGAAATTCTAAGAAAGTGTTAATAATCCCAAACCAAAATTGATAATAAAAATATTTAAAAAAATAAGGTGAAAAAGAGTAAAAGATATATACTATACTAAAATAATCTGGAGGTGTTCCTGCATATAGTGTGTAGAGAAAATGAGTCCTTAACAATTGATGAATCTCAACTAAATGTTGAGAAGAACCTCACTAGACAGGAAAGGTTGGCAATTAAACAACTTCAAAAAAACCCTGACATAATTATCAAGGCCTCAGATAAAGGAGGCAATGTGGTAGTAATGGACAAGGAACGTTATATCAGTATAGCAGAGCACCTTCTGCTGGATAAGGCTACATACCGTATCCTCACAGCTGACCCAACCCCCCCCAATTTATGGATGAATTACAAACCCTACTGACTGAGGCTTTGAATTCAGATCTTATCTCCAGAGACAAGTTTGATTTTATGAACACTAAATAACCCATCCTGTCCACCTTTTATTGCTTACCTAAGATACATAAGTCCCTGAAGGAAGCCAACAGGCAGGCCAAATCTTACTCAAAATGTAAGCATTTTTGTGGACAGGATCCTGCTACCTTTGATACAAAGATTTCCCTCTTATTTAAGGGATACTAAGCAGTTAGTCAAATTTTTTACTCAACTGGAGCTCCCCAGCAATGCTATCATTTGCAGCCTAGATGTTGTGACACTTTATAGTTCAATTCCACACACTTTGGGAATTGAACACATTCGGGCCTTCCTCCACCTTAACCCTAAATTACCAGAGGCATATGTGGACCTCATATCAGAACTGCTCAGATTTGTGCTAACACGCAACATCTTCCTATTTAATGGTAAATTATACCAACAAGTAACTGGCACTGCAATGGGTACGCCCTGTAACATCTTATGCAAACCTACACCTAGGCTGGTGGGAAAAGTATATTATGGCTGGCACTTCCCCTAAACCATACACGGACCAAGTCCATTGGAAAAGGTATATAGACAACACTTTTGTTGTCTGGCTTGGTGCCGTGTGTGATTTTAAGGAATTTGTTAAGAGACTTAACATCAATCACTTCAATCTATGCTTCAGGAGTGAGATAGGTGGATCAAAACTTTCCTTCCTCAATATTTCCATATTCTTAGGGAGGGACCGTAAAAATACAGACCACTCTTTTTAGGAAAAAGTCAGCAACAAATAGCCATCTCAAATGGTCAAGTTACCATCCTAAACCATTAAAGGCCGGGATCCCTACCAAGGCCAATATTTGAGGTTGTGATGTAACTGCTCCTCCTTGGATGACTTCAAGGACAAAGCAAGAGCCCTACGGCATTCCTTTAGGGAACAGGGATACCCAAATAGGGTTCTAAATAGGGCCTATACTAGAGTTCTTGAAACAGATCGCCAGTCCCTAATTGAAGAGAATACCAAAAAATCAGAAGGTGGCATAATACGGTGTATTGGCACCTTCGATGCAGGCTGGAAACCCATGCAGAGTATCTTCAGGAAGTTTTGGCCTATTTTAACATTGGATAGACATCTTAAAGAAGTTGTAACTCCCTATCCATCAATTACGGCACATAGAGGGAGGAATCTGAGAGACCTTTTGGTACCCAGTAATCTTCCCACTACTGTTAATCAAGGAAACTTCCAGAACTACTTACCAGCAGGCACCTACCAATGTGGCCATTGCAGTGCATGACCCTTCATTAATAGACACTCTAAAAGCTACTCTGATAGCACTAAAACAGAAACGTTTTATTCACGTTCATTTTTCAATTGCTGCACGGTTGGAGTAATCTATTTACTCACATGCTCCTGTGGTTTGATGTATGTGGGGAAGACATTCCTCCACTTTAAATACAGAAACAGGGAACATGTGAACTCAGTAAAAAGACATTTAGAAACTCCAATCTCTAGGCATTTACATCTGCATCATGACCATTCATCTGTTGGTATTTGTTTTATGGGCTTGGAATACATACCACAACCACCGCGCAAAGGTGGGTGGGATATCAAACCTCGTCAGAGGGAGACCTTCTGGATATATACGCTATAAACTTTATCACCACAAGGGTTAAATGAAGGGTTCTTATATTCGTCCTTTATATAAGATGTCTTTCTCTCAATATGACTGAGTGGCATTTTCAGTAGTTTATACAACGTATAATTGTCCAAGTTTTCAATTACCTCTTTTGATTATAGTTTCTTTTTGGGTGTTTTTTGTCACTTGCCCTCTCTCACTTTAGATATAAACTTCATAGATACCCATACAACTAATATGGATCACATTTCCTATACTAGCCTCTAGTGATTCTCACGTTTGTGATGATATCTTTTGCTAGAGAACTTTTAAAGGTGTATCACGATGTTGCTGAACCTTAAATGCCAATATAGTCATTACATCTAGAATTAAAATTGTGGAGGATGATTTGGCAGGGTCTGATGAACAGCAATATCAGGATATCTATCTATGTGTGATTATATTGTCACTACTTATATTCACCTTTTCAATATGACAAACATAAAATTGTGGATTATATCCCCAATTGAGCGAGTAAGGTGTTAAACACACCTAGGTGCAACATGTAACTGAGTAGCTCTAGCTTGTCAACTGTTGACATTTCTCCTTAATAGTTGAGCTGTCATTTACATCTAAGCATTAAGTTAGGGCAGTGAGTATTTGACTGACACATGAAAACATGAGCACCACATATGATTGGCTAATTGGTGCTACTCCCCTAACCAATTTAGGTTATATCCACGTGGGAGTCTCCCTGTATATTGAACTTTTCACATTGGATGAGACACTTAAGGAGACCCTCCCCTAAAAGGCTGATCCTAAGTAGGGTTAATGAACTTGGGTATTTAAGCAGATCCTGTGAGGAGAGAGCTCACTCTGCCCCTGACGACGGCGTTATAATACGCTGAAATGCGCGTCGGGCTCGATTTATTTATTTTAATATGCACTTTTTCACTTGTTAGGTAGCACCTTTTTTATTTTGTGTTGAAGTTACCTATATATATATATATATATACACCCTTTTCCAAATTATTATGCAAATGATATTTTTCTCGTTTACCTAAATAATTGATGTAAATAACAGTCAGCATAATTCTCATGTTATCAACTATTAAGAGTACAATTCAAATTTTATTGAACAAACCTCCTAATGATAACAGTATTTTTTTTAAACATAAAAAACTTACAATGCGCTGTTCTAAATTATTACGCACAGTATGTTTCAAAACACTTTATAGGTTGTAAAGAACTGAAAATTGTCATTTATTGTGTTTGCAGCATATTTACTGAAATCAAAAGCTATTTCAATCAAACTTAACCCCTTAAGACCGGAGGGCGTACTATTACGTCCTCTAATAGGCGGCTCTAAACGCCGCCGGGCGTAATAGTACGCCCTCCGGTCTTTCTGTACTTACCCGGCGATCGCGGTTGGGGGGACTCCCAGGGAGCCCCCCCGCGGCACCTCCGTCCTCCTGGAAGCCCCCCGGCCATGTGAGAGTGGGGTCCTAGCGAGGACCCCACAATCACATGGCCGGGGATAGCTGGCTTCTGTATTGCCAGCAGGGGGGCTGCCTGTAATGACAGGTGGTCCCCCTGCTGGCTGAAAATAAAAATGAAATAAATAAATAGTGTAAAAAAATAAATAATATATACTTAGATCATATATATATATTATATATATGATCAAAGTATATATATACACATATACATACACACATGTACACCGTCTAGGTGTATTTTACTATTAATATATATATAATTATATATATATATTAATATCAAATTACACGTACACTGATACTGATTAAATATATATATAATTATTGTTATATATATATTTATATATATTATAAAAAAAATTAAAAATGTAAATACGTTAAAAAATAAAATTACAAAAATAATTAAAAATAAATAATTAAAAAATATATAGATGTGTGTTATTTCGTTCTAACTGTATTGTGAAATTAATATATATATATATATATCAAAATACACATAGAACGAAATAATATATATATTTATACACATAAATATATACTTATATATCACTATATATATACCTATATATAAATAAAAATATTTAAAAAAAATTATATAGATATATACATATATATACACATACGTATATATATACATATATTGATTCTATATATATATTTATGTAATATTTTTACATAATTAGGTATCTTAATTAATTACAATTAGCAGGACCTGCATGACAACCCATGCCGAAAGTAAAGGGAATTTAATTTGCTAGCACTATATTCAACCCTATAACTTTCCGAGACACCATAAAACCTGTACATGGGGGGTACTGTTCTACTCGGGAGACTTCGCTGAACACAAATATTAGTGTTTCAAAACAGTAAAATGTATTACAACGATGATATCGCCAGTAAAAGTGACGTTTTTGCATTTTTCACGCACAAACAGCATTAAACGGACAATATTATTGCTATGATACTTTTTACTGTTTTGAAACACAAATATTTGTGTTCAGTGAAGTCTCCCAAGTACAACAGTACCCCTCATGTACAGGTTTTATAGTGTTTTCAAAAGTTACAGCATCAAATATAAGGCTTGCGTTTCATTTTTTTCACATTAAAATTCGCCAGATTGGTTACATTGCCTTTGAGACCCTATGGTAGCCCAAGAATGAAAATTACCCCTATGATGGCATACCATTTGCAATAGTAGACAACCCAAGGTATTGTAAACAGGGTATGTCCAGTCTTTTTTAGTAGCCACTTAGTCACAAACACTGGCCAAAATTGGCGTTTTTTGCATTTCACACACAAACAAATACTAACGCTAACTTTGGCCAGTGTTTGTGACCAAATGGCTACTAAAAAAGACTGGACATACCCCATTTGCAATACCTTGGGTTGTCTACTATTGCAAATGGTATGCCATTATGAGTGTAAATTTCATTCCCGGGCTACTATACAGTCTCAAAGGCAACGTAACCAATCTGGCGAATTTCAAATGTAACGTGCTATATTTGACCCTGTAACTTCCCAAAACGCCATAAAACCTGTACATAGGGGGTACTGTTTTACACGTGAGACTTTGCTGAATACAAATATGTGTATTTTATTGCAGTAAAAGCAAACAGTATTATGACACTGACCGTTTAATTGTCATGTAGAACTAAAAAATCCAATAAAATCGTATTTTCTCCCATTTTTTTCATATTAAATTATGTTTCATAGCTAAATATTTGATATTAAATGAAAGCCCTGTTTCCCCTGAATAAAATGATATATAATAAGGGTGGGTGCATTTACTATGAAAGAGGTGTATTACAGTTGGACAGACATGTAGCGCAAATGCCAGGTTTTGTTTACATTTTGTTTTGTTCACAACGTGTACATTTGGCTCCGTCCTTAAGGGGTTAAAACAACATTTTAACTTTTTAAACATTTCAGGTCACGTTACATTTTAACATAGGACCCCTTATTTGATAGCAGCTTCACAAGTCTTGCATCCAGTGAACTTGTGAGTTTTTGGACAGTTTCTGCTTGAATTTGTTTGCAAGATGTCAGAATAGCCTCCAAGAGCTGCTGTTTGTATGAAAAACTGCCTCCCACGCTCATAGATCTTTTGCTTGAGGATGCTCCAAAGGTTCTCAATAGGATTGAGGTCAGGGGAGGATGGAGGCCACACCATGACTTTCTCTCCTTTTATCCCCATAGCAGTCATCGATGCAGAGGTATTCTTTGCAGCATGAAATGGTGCATTGTCATGCATGAAGATGATTTTATTATGGAAAGCATAGTTCTTCCTTCTGTACCAGGGAAGAAAGTGGTCAGTCAGAAACTCCACATACTTTGCAGAGGTCATCTTTACACCTTTGGGGATCCTAAAGGGGCTGACCAGCTCTCTTCCCATGATTCCGGACCAAAACATGACTGCACCATCACCTTGCTGACATTGCAGCCTTGTTGGAACAGAGTGGCCGTCCACCAACCATCCACTACTCCATCCATCTGGACCATCCAGGGTTGCACGGCCCTCATCAGTGAACAGGACTGTTTGAAAATTAGTCTTCATGGATTTTTCTGCCCAAGGCAGCCGTTTCTGCTTGTGAGTATTGGTTAGTGGTGGCCAAATAGAAGGTTTATGCACAGTTGCAAGATTCTGGAGGACTCTACACCTTGATGTCCGTGGGACTCCAGAGGCACCAGCAGCTTCAAATATCTGTTTGCTGCTATGTAATGGTATTTTAGCAGCTGCTCTCTTGATCCAATGCATAGATCTGGCAGAAATCTTCCTCAATGTGCCTTTATCTGCACAAACCTGTCTGTGCTCTGAATCAGCCACAAATCTCTAAATAGTGTGATGATTACGCTTAAGTTTTCATGAAATATCTAATGTTTTCATACCTTGTCCAAGGCATTGAACTATTTCACTCTTTCGGCAGCAGAGAGATCCTTTTTCTTCCCCATATTGCATGAAAATGGAGCTCTGCTTAATAACGTGGAACACCCTCCTTTAGTAGTTTTTCCTTAAATTGGGCTCACCTGGCAATCTAATTATCACAGGTGTCCAAGATTGTTTTCAGTGATCAAAAGAGCCCTGAGACACAATGCCATCCATGAGTTAAACTGAAAAGCAAAATATTTAATCTTTGTGACACAAATAGAATTTGCATAATAATTTGGAACAGGGTGTATATATATATATATAGGGTCTTTAGTTCAGGTAGACATTAGCTTTGTGTGGTTATGGTGGGAATAGAATAGTGGTCGCTACAATAGCCAGGAGATATCTCCCTTCTGCTCGATCCTGATTAATCTTCAATTAGTAGATATCTAGGGGTTTTTTTTCTCCTCCTCTCTGTGTAGGAATTTAGACCACTTTCCCCTTTCCTTATCACCACTTATTGATTCTGCTTAATAGCAAGATTTCCCTTTATAGTGGATTGCCTGTCTGCACCCTATGGTGTTTCCCTATACCTAACATATATACTCTGTTCCTATTTGGGATCCTTTCACTGTAAATAGTAGATCTATATCTTATGGACTAATAAAGGTTTTTACTATATTTCTTGGCATGTAATATACTTATTTAACCTACGTTGTACCCATTCCTAGACATTTACTTCCATTTGGAGTGAACACCTTGGATATTGTCTTCATTCCTTTTCTAAATATATATAACAACAAAATGGATGCTTGACACTCTCCTTTTAGAAATAAATAGGGAATTCTTGCCTGGGTGCTCTATCCTAAACGCCAAAAATATACACAGAAATCCAAAAACAGGATGCACTCACAGGTCTTAATTAAAGTGAAAAAAATGTTGTTTTAATTATTCAATGTGAAATGTACAAAAAATCTCTCTCTCTCTCTCTCTCTCTCTCTCTCTCTCTCTCTCTATATATATATAGAGAGAGAGAGAGAGAGAGAGAGAGAGAGAGAGAGAGATTTTTTGTACATTTCACATAGAGAGAGAGAGAGAGAGAGAGATTTTTTGTACATTTCACATGGAATAATTAAAACAACATTTTTTTCACTTTAACGTGCTCACTAAATAATAACAAAAAAGGAGGAAATAGGAAATTTTAAGAAAGTGTTAATAATCCCAAACCAAAATTGATAATAAAAATTGTATTTAAAAAAAATAAGGTGAAAAAGAGTAAAAGATATACTCCAAAACAAAGTATATACAAAAGACTTTCCAAATCTCAGTTGCTTATCTGAACGGAGAGATGCTCAGGGGAAGGATCATATGCACTGAAATGTGTGTCAAGTCCCTGTCTGGCAGAGGTTTATACTAAAGGTTAAAGGGACACTATAGTCACCTGAACAACTACAGCTTAATGTATTTGTTCAGGTGAGATCTATAGCTCCCTGCAGGCAATCTAATGTAAACACTGTATTTTCAGAGAAAATACAGTGTTTACATTGATTGATAGGAATACCTCCAGTGGCCGTCACTCAGACGGCCACCAGAGGAACTTCCTATCAAGGGCTTGTACACATCAGACGTATTAAGATACGTCTGACGTGTGCAGGAGAGAGAAGGCACTATATGCGCGCCTTCTCTCTCCAGCCTGTCAGCAGAGGAGAGGGGTGGGCAAAGACCGCGAGGTGAGCTGTCAGTCAGCTCAGCTCGTGGCCGCGCACACCGTGCGCATGCGTGGTAGTGCGCTCAAGACTTCAGAGGGCGGCATGAAGCGTCTGATTGCTACCTGCTAGCGCCCGCCTATTTCGTCATTTAGCGAAATAGGGAGCGCGGCTTCACGAGGCTCCTGGCGCTGGAACCAGCTCTTGAAAAGGCCAGCGCTTTTGGCAGTCTGCTTTTTTATAAACAGAGGCTTACACTGGGCGTTAAGTGATGATATCACTAGAGAAGCACAGAGCTTTTGCCAGTCTGCCTATTATAACAGAAGCTTACACTGGGCATTAAGTGTTGATATCACTAGAGAAGCAGAGCGCTTTTGACAGTCTGCCTATTATTACAAAAGCTTACCCTAAGGGTTAAATGGTGCTATTACTTAAAAGGTACAGAGCTTTAGTCAATCTGCCTAGTTAAACAGAAGCTAACACACATGGTTAAATAATGCTATCACTGGAAAGGTATGGAACTAATAGAAGTCTGCCTATTTCGACATGTCTCATAAGAAGTAACTATTGTGTGAAAACTTAGTAGCGATATGAAGAAACAATGTTGCAAAAATCACTAGCGTCTTTGAATATACAGCTGATCCCTAGTCAGTCAGAAGATCGATGTTCCTGAATTTGATAGTACTGCTGCTAAGATAGTTATTTGTCCCAATAGCAACAGTGCATGTAACTGAGAGAGGGAAACAAAGTGGTTATTGCATGCATGGTTTGAAATCTAGACTGTGCCTTCGTGGGGACCTAAAAATCTCTAACAATCATTGTCTGTCTACATGCAGCATCAAAAAATCCACTTTGTACACCTGCAGGAAAATATTGTCTGTCCTGAAAGTATCTTATAAATTATGATCAATTAGCTAATGCTCGTTCCTGCAGGTTAGGAAGGAGCCCAGACGTGCATTCGACAGTTTGGCAGGGAAAACAGTTACCCTCCATAACCGAAGTTTAAATAATCATAGACATGGTTTGATTGGATACAGAGCCTAACCAATCATGTGTTAAAGGTAAAGACTGACACTTGATGTGGCCAGTCAGATTTGAAACTCTCTTTTAGTAGGAGTGGTCTTATGTAATTGGGCTGCATACCAGGGTTGTTTAGTAAATTAACCCTTGGGTTACTGAAATTATTATATGTTATTTAAAGTGTTGTAAAAATGCTAGTCTACAAGAATTATGTCATTATTCTGAGAGTGCAAGAAAACTGTTAATAAGGGCTATTTAGATAGTATATTGATAACAGAATTTCTTAATCTTTTTATGTAATTTTGAAATATTCGTTGAGCGGTTGAGCAATTTAGTTGAGACCAATATATTAGAACTTTATATTAAGGATCCAGTGATGACAATTCCTAGTTTAGTGAAATTATCTGGTTAGATGAAAAATGATTAGAGAAGAGGGTGAAAATTCAGCAGTTTGTGAGATAGTAATAAAAGAGTATACATATATCCTCATGTGCAAAGACAGAATTAAGAAATCCATTCATAATGAAAATGTGTTAGTCATAAATTGAACTTGTGTCAAATGAAAGGAGTATGTAATAAAAGTTGTCATATATTCCTATGTATAATAGTAGGAGTATGGTAATCCCCCAGGGGTTATATAACCTTTAAGCTGCGTCCTAAGATTATATATGTAAAAAGGGGGTGTAATGAATTAACCATCTTACAAACTGTTGAATATTGACCTTCTTCTCTAGAGTTGAGTGAACCCGAACTGTAAAGTTCGGGTTCGTACCGAACATTAAGTTTTTTGGACCCCGGACCTGAACACGGAAATATCACTGTATGTTCAGGTTGGAGTTCGGTGTTTGGCGATTTAATGGCACGTTTTGAAAGGCTACAGGGCAGCCAATCAACAAGCGTTTGACTCGTGTGCCCTTAGAAGCCATCACAGCCATGCCTACTAATGGCATGGCTGTGATTGGCCAGTGCAGCATGTGACCCAGCCTCTATTTATAAGCTGGAGTCGCGTAGCGCTGCATGCACATGAAGTCTTATTAGTGTAGGGAGAGGATGGTGCCGCTGTGAGGGACAGCTTAGGAAAGTATTCTGCAAACTAGTACATTAGTGAGGTGCACTTCATATCTGAGAGTCAAATAGAAGCTTCAAATACCGCGGTTACATCAGAGTTTTAAAAAGTCAATTTTTTTGGTGCTAAATAGTACATTAGTGGGATAGCACATTAGTGGGGTGCACTTCATATCTGAGAGTCAAATAGAATGGTCAAATACTGCTGTCACATTGCAGTTTTAAAACTTACAAAATTTTGGGTGCTAAACTGCTAAATAGTATTTTAGTGGGGTGCACTTCATATCTGAGAGTCAAATAGAAGCGTCTAATAGTGTGCTTACAGAGCAGTTGTAAAAATTCTAATTTTCTTGGTGCTAATCTGCTAAATAGTACATTTGCGGCCTGCGGTGCACTTCATATCTGAGAGTCAAATAGAAGCGTCAAATAGTGCTCTTACTGCGCAGTTGTAAATATTCTAATTGTTTTGCTGCTAATCTGCTGCTTACATTGGAGTTTTAAAAATTAATTATTTTTTTTGGTGCTAAATAGTATATTTGGGGTGTTCACTTCATATCTGAGAGTCAAATTGAAGCGTAACTTTGATTTGAATTTACTACATCGGTCACTTGTAATATTGTTTCACACCTACAACACTTGTTACACAGATCTAACTGATAGAAAACAGATTGATATTTTCTACACTAGAAACTACCAGATAACAAGCTGCTATATTTAAACCAGTTATCAATAGCTAAGAGGTACTTCAACAATATTGTAATTCTGGGGCAATACCCTCACAAGTCAAACTGAGAGGTCAGTTTATTGGGAAAACTGTTGCCTGAATACAATTCTAAAACAATTTCCATATGTCTTTTGCAGACTTTACATGCTGGAAAAACACAGGTGCCAATTGCTGTGGCTTTCTGCAGTGTGCATACCAGCAAGGAAGGCAGGGTTGAGGAGTGGGTGGAAGATGATGTGGAGGATGATGAGGTCCTAGACCCCACATGGAATCAAGGTCATGCAAGTGACGTATGCAGTTTGGAGGAAGAGGCGCTGGTTGCACAGAGACACCAGCACAGCATAAGAGGGAGCAGGGTGCAAAAGTGGAGCGGCCGTCCCCTAGCACTTGTCGGCATGTATTTGCTCAAGAATTACCAGTTATCCAAGTAATACATGTAGTGATCAAAGGATCCTTAATAGAGTTGAGCAAACCAGATTGTACCAGATTTAACGATCCATTCGTAGTTTCACAGTCAGGTGGGCAGTCCGGTGACCAAGACCCAGACACTGTCTGGGCGGCGGTTGAATGACCGGGACCCAGTATGCCTGATGTTGAAGTTAGGAGTCAGAGTGTGGAATGGATTAGCAGGGTTTAGTGCAGGGTAACCGCATGCCCCCTGGTGTTGAGCACCAGCGTTTGTGCAGCCACATACCAGGACCCTGATGCAGCTTCAGTAAAAAGAGTACTGGATACCAGAAGCAATCACCAGACTGATCCGCAACTTGGAACAGGATGTGACATTCACTGTAGCGGGTGTGCGCGCTTTTGGTGTTCTCACCCTGCTGCGGCGGTCGGATGACCAGGACCCAGTATGCCTAATGTTGAAGTTAGGAGTTAGAGTGTGGAATGGATTGGCAGGGTCTAGTGCAGGGTAACCGCATGCCCCCTGTTGTTGAGCACCAGCGTTTGTGCGGCCACATACCAGGACCCTGATGCAGCTACAGTAAAAAGAGTACTGGATACCAGAAGCAATCACCAGACTGATCCGCAACTTGGAACAGGATGTGACATTCACTGTAGCGGCTGTGCGCGCTTTTGGCATTCTCACCCTGCTGCTGCTCGCCTGTCTGTACTGCAACGTAACTTCAGCCTTCCCACTCACCGCCTCATGAGACTGTGCAAGCAGCAGCAGGCGATAGTGGGGTTTCAGCTGCAGCACGCACAGGTCAGTGCCTCTGCACCAGACTTCCCTCAAATTGATCAGAGTTAAAGGATTTCAAGTGGACTCATTACAATTACAGGGTCTCTAAAGAGTCCTGTATTGTTATTTGTCGTCACTACCTTCCCGCGTCGGGAGTGGGTCATTTGTGCGCCTGCTGCCTTCCTTGCATGTGGTAGCCGTTTCTCAGGGTCCCTGTACGGAATGGAACCCTGATTCCCCGTTACCCGTGGTCACCATGGTAGGCGCAGAAACTGGCATCGAAAGTTGATATGGATGACATCCGAGTGCAAAGTCACCGTCACGGGGATGTGCGATTGGCCCGAGGTTCTCTAGAGTCAACAAAGTGCCTGCACAACTATAATGTCAACAGCTACTCTGCGTAACAGAGTTGTCTTTTTTTATATGTCCCAATATTTTGTGGGCTACCACAATGAAAAAAAAACAAAAACATAAAAAACAGTGTTGGCTACCTCATCATCCTCCTCCACCGCTGGCCGCAAATGTATCTTTTTTTGTATATTTTGGGGGCTACCATAATAAAAGAAATAAAAAACAGTGTTGGCCACCTCATCCTCCTCCTCCACCGCTACTTCCACCTACACCGCCGTGGTCACCGCCTCCTCAATCTATGGGTCACTTAGTATAAACTATGTACACATTAGCAGAGGCTTGTGAAGGCCGTTTCTCCATGCATCAGGACTGCAAGAAATGCACTGCAGGCCACAAATGTAGTTGAGCTCAGTTTGAACAATGAAACAGAATACCCTGCACTCCAACCCTCTCTCAAATGAATAATTCTGGTGATCCCACTGACAGCCATGCTTTAGATTTTGATTTATGCTCTCCCAAAGCTAAAATCAAAGATTCCATCTAGTGGTATTTTATGGCTCAGCTGTATTTTGAATTTTTAGGTATTTTATGTTATTTTAAGTGATTTCTCTATCCACATTTGTTTGCAGGGCACTTGTCCTACTCTTACCCCCATTTTACTTCCTTTTGCAGCTCTCTAGCCTTTTCAGGAGTTTTTTAGAGGAATTTTTCTGTCCAAAGGTTTGGGTCCCCATTAACTTCAACCCGGACTTTTTTTTCAAAGTTCGGGTGAACTCGCCCGACCCGAACATCCAGGTGTCCGCTCAACTCTACTCTTCTCTTCTCTAATCATTTTTCATCCAACCAGATCATTTCACTAAACTAGGAATTGTCATCATTGGATCCTTAATATAAAGTTCTAATAGTAGGAGGGGTTGAATTTATATTGGGAAAACTCTTCCCACCAATTCAGGCCTATGTCCTTTTACACACACACATATATATATATATATTTATTTTTTTATTTTTTTATATTTATTTGGGAAGCATTTTTCTGCATGTTTGTGTTGTAGATTCAATTTAAATTGTAACTGCTTTTATTTCGTGAAACAGGTTGATATAGATATATAACACAAACATGCAGAAAAATGCATCTAAAATATTTTTCAATACACCTACCTAACAATAATTTTGCCCATGAACTGACATTGGCATCAAAATAAGCAATACAGAAATTCTTTTTAGTTGACTTACTTGATTTGCCTCAAAATCATTTTCTATCTTGGAATACATTTAGCCCCACAGTTAAAAAGAACAAAAGATCATTAGAAAAATAAATTATTAAATATTTGATAATATACACACCACACAATCTCAATTTAAATTATCATGCAAATGTGGTTGGTTGGAATTTTTGTGAACAGAGCTTCATATGAGAAAACATATTAAACCTTCAAGACTACAATTTTCTTAGCTGTCAAACAATGAGATGTATTGGCACAGGGACACAAAACCTATCACTAGTGAGTTATGCTATTATAACTCTTATCACGGCTGACCAACAGCTATTTCCACCTGCCTATCTTGAAAGAGAGGTGTCCCATTTAGAAACATATTATTCTTCCTGCAAATGTCTTTGGTTGAGGTACCAGGGAATATGCAGAATCATTTCATTTCCAGGGTAATTTAAGTAATTGTACCTGGTTTAAAAAAGGTTAGCTACATTTGCAAGTTATTGTCGTGATAATCAAATGCTTTCTCTAATATTTTGTTTTTCACCATATTTTTTTTAGCCAAAAAGTGAGCATTTTTTGATAAATGCAAAATGACACTATTTGTACCTATATTGAAAATGCATTTGAAAGACATGCATCATTGTTAGACAATTTTCATCACTGTTAGACAATTGCCTGACTCCAGGGCCGGACTGGGACAAAAATTCAGCCATGGCATTTAAAGGCAGAGCAGCCCTAGGAGGGGAGCTGCTTGAGAAGGTGCATGTTGTGTCATCACAAGTGACATGCATGCCTCTCCAAAGTAGGTATATCGGTTTAATGCCCCACAGGAGAGCCAATGTGTAATGTGATGGCATAGGGATGTGTGTGTCGGGGGAGAGGATGTTTTGTGAGAGGGGTCATAGGAGATCTAGAGTGTGAAAGGGAGACATTGGACTGCAGAGTATAAGAACGGGACATGGGGCTACAGGGTGTGAGAGGAGCTGCAGGTTGTGAGAGGGGTGATGTAGGCTGCAGAGTGTGAGATGGGGTCATGGGACTGCTGGGTGTGAGATGGGGTGTGAGAGGGTGGCACGAGGCTGCTGGGTGTGAGAGGGGAACATGAGGCTGCTGGGTGAGAGAGTGGGAGACAGGGGCTGCTGGGTGAGGGGGTCAGGAGCAGCTGTGGTTGAGGACGGCTGAGTTAGGGGGAGAGTCGGACAGCAGGGTGTGATATGGGGCTGCTGGGTGTGAGAGGGGAACATGAGGCTGCTGGGTGAGAGAGGGGGAGACAGGGGCTGCTGGGTGAGGGGGCAAGAGCAGCTGTGGGTGGGGGGGCTGGCTTAGGGGAAGAGTTGGGCTGCTAGGTGTGAGAGGGGCCAGGGGCTGCTGGGTAAGAGGGGGGCAGGGACTGCTGAGTGAGGGGATCAGGGGTTGCTGGGTGAGAGTGGACAAGGGGGCTAAGTAATAGGGGGCAGGTGCTACTGGGTGAGAGTGGGCTGCTGGGTGAGTGGGGACAGGGGCTGCTGGGTAAAGGAGAGGGCAACTAGATGAGAGGTGGGCAGGCACTACTGGGTGAGAGAGGACTAGGTGAGGGGGGCAGGGGCTGCTCCTGAGGGGTGGGCATGAGCTAGGTGAGGGGTGGGCAGGGGCTTCTGGGTGAGAGGGTGCTGCTTGGTGATGGGGCATGGGCTGCTGGGTGAGGGGGGAAATGGTTGCTGGGTGAGAGTAGGCAGGGGTGCTAAGTGAGGGGGAAAGGGTTCTAAGTTAAAGGGGGCAGGTGCTACTGGTTGAAAGGGGCTGCTGGGTAAGTGGGGGTAGGAGCTGCTGAGTGAGAGGGGACTGCTAGGGGAAGGGGCAGGGGCTGCAGGGTGAGGAGGGCATGGGCTGCTAGGTGAGTGGGAGCTGCTGGGTAAAGGGTGCAGGAGCTCCTGTGGGTGAGAGGGGGCTGGGTTAGGCAGAGAGTCGGACTGCTAGGTGTGAGAGGGGGAGACAGGGTCTGCTGGGTGTGAGGGGCTTCTGTGTGAGTAAGAGGGAGGGCAGGGGCTGCTGGGTGAGAGGGAAGGGCAGGGGCTGCTTGGTAAGGGGGGCAAGGGCCGGTGGTTGAAAGTAAGCAGGGCTGCTAAGTGAAAGGGGGCAGGCACTACTGGGTGAGAGGGGGCTGCTGGGTGAGAGAGGGCAACTGGGTGAGAGGGGGGGGCAGGTGCTACTAGGTGAGAGGGGACTTCTGGGTGAGTGGGGGCAGGGTCTGCTGGAAGAGAGAGGGATCCTGAGTGAGGGTTTGTACTGGCTGCTGGGTGATAGGGAAGGGCAGGAGCTGCAGGATAGAGTGAAGGGCAGGGGAAAGGGCCGGTGGTTGAAAGTGGGCAGGGGTGCTAAGTGAGAGGGGGCAGGCACTACTGGGTGAGAGGGGGCTGCTGGGTGAGAGGGGGCTGCTGGGTGAGAGAGGGTAACTGGGTGAGAGGGGGGAAGGTGCACATGTTCAGTTGGAAGATCTCTTCACCTAGAAACATCTTGACAATGATAAAATAGAGGGGGTCTGATTTGTGTGATCATACAAAACAGGCTCAGGTACAGATTTCTCTCTCCTGCTTCTAAAAAAGATTAATTGACTGGTCTAAAACTGAGATGGGGTGGTAATAGGTGTGGGGGGACTGAAGAAACATCCTTAGTTGAGATGCCCTGTGATGAAATCAGACCAAGTTTATAGTAAGTTTATAAATGTTTATTACATACTTTCCAAAGCTTCTCTTGCTTTATTTTGGTTTCTGTATTTGTTTAAAAGTGTTTGCTTGCTGATTTAAAAAATAATAATAATTGTCAAGTGATGCATGTCCTTTTAATGAATAAACACAAATTATTTTTTTTCTAATGCTGTGGGTAAATAAATAAAAAAAATTACTTAAAGAAAAATGGAATTTAAAAAAATAAATATGCTTTTTTGCTTTCTTGCTTTCTTCTGATCCAATGTGTTCAATTTAAGCCAACAAGGCATCACTTGTGATTAAAAAAAAAAAAAATTTAAGTTACTAAACATTACATTTAGCATTAATATTAAAGTTTTCTTCATGGAAACAAGGAATGATAGAGAACTAAAAACTGAATTGCAAAATGTAGACAAAATTCAAAAAGTCTGCTACAGTCATAACCTGACAATTTTAGAGTTGAAGTTCATTTTTTTTATCCTTTATTTATAGATTTTGTTTTCAATAAAGTTGAGGCTTGGTAGTAATAGTTGTATGAATAGTCATAGCTATGTGCGTAAGTGACAGACCTTGTAAACATAGAGTGCATTTTAACCCCTTCAGGGCCGAGGACGGTTCAGGACCGTCATCAGCATTTTCGCGTTGCCGACTGGTGACGGTCCTGAACCATCCTAACGGTCAGATGTACTTACCCGATCGGTGATCGGTGTTGCTCCCGTTGTGGGGATACTGCCTGCAGCCCAGACAGTCTCCCCATGGTGGATTAGGACGCCTGGGGCCATGTGATCGCTCTATATATCATATATATAATGTCATACTAAGTGTATTTTTATATTAATATGTATATATATTAATATAAAAATACACTTATAATTAAATTACACACGTATATATATATATAATATGTATAATAACTATATATATTGTATATAAATATTATTATAAAATACAAATAATAAGAAATTTAAATTAAATAAAAACGTAAAAATAATAATAAAAAAAATATATATATATCTATATGAAATGTTATTCTAACTGTATTTTGATAGTAATATATATATATATATATATATATATATATTTATATCAAAATACACTTAGAATGAAATTGTATATATATATATATATATATATATATATATATATATATATATATAAATAAATAAAAATAATACGAAATATACATATGTCCATATACAAAAT